GATTGGGTTCTTACCTGCTGCGTTGAAGATACCGCTACGGCGGGAGAGAGAGAGAGAGAGATGAGCGATCCAAGATTGGTTGTCACTTACCTGTGAGGCGAGTTGTGTGGTCCGGTGGAGAAGGAAGATAGCGGCCATAGCCGCGGAGTATCGACACATGGTATTGAAGAAGAGAGAGAGGGAGGACAGAGAGTGTGGAAGGAGGACACTGGAGAAGAAGACAAACATAGCCGGGGGTGAACAAAAAAAAAAAAAAAAAAAAAAAAACTATACATAATAGAGAAAGTGAAGAAGAAGAAGAGTGAAGGAAGGGGAAGTAAGTGGCGGGGGTGACGAAGGTGAAGGTGTCGGCAGCCATAGCCGAGGTGAAGGGTTGACCGGGCGTTGACCAGGGCGTTGACCAAGGGTTGACCAGAGGGTTGACTGGGCGTTGACCAAGGTGGTTGACCAAGCGTTGACTGGGGGTTGTCCGCGTTGACTCAGCGTTGACCAAGGCGTTGACCGGAGCTGCTGACCAAGATTTTGACCAAGCTGGAGTTGGTGATATCTCGTTGAGCCCTCAGCCTATCCCCTTACCCTGTGGATGTGCACACCCCCTACGGTATTTGCTGAGTTGAGTTTGTCTGTCTTTCCTTTCTGCATTGAGTCTCTTCTGTCCTAGGTGTTAGGACTCTGTGGATGAAGGATAGGGTCTTGCTGCCAAACCTGCACGGGACTTAGTAGGACTAATCTCTACTCTGGCATCAGGAGACCTGGGCATGAGCGGCGAGCGCTCGTTAAACAACCCGTCTAGCCCAATGACCGGTACTGTCCGGCAGGTCTACTGAGTTCAGTGTAGAGGGTCCGAACTCCGAGCTGTAGGCTGAAACGAAGGTTGTCTTTAAGTGTTGAGGCCTGGTTGAACCACTCCCCTGCCGGACCCAGTAAGTCTGATGATCTGTGTCTGACGACTCGACTGTCCCGAGGGATACGAACCCCTCCAAGGACCAGTACAGACCGGCGGGCTGCTCGGTGTGGCACAGTAGGCCGGAACGGCTGAGTTGTGGGCTGAAATCGCCAGCAAGAACTACGCTGATCACGTCGTCCTGACTGCGACGTTAAAGAATTCTTGCGGAGTTTGGGGGATCTCCTTAAATGCCTCCTGATCAGCTGTTAGTTCAGTAGTGACAGCCTTAGAGCAGTTGTGAGTAGTGGATCCTAGAGAGTCAGTCAGTAGGTCAGTGTGTCCGGGTAGGTCTAAGTGGTGAGGAGTGGGACATTGTCGTGCACCTAACACCACGATGGACGACTATCCGATGTATGGGTTGCTCGTTGGGTTCTCCCTCTGGGGGACCCTCTGGCGTCTCCTCTTTCCTCTGGGGTTTTGGCACACCTTTACCTGTAGAGTAGATACCCGGGGTGGTGCCTCCACCAAGCCATACACGAAGGAGGAGGAGGMGAAGATGGCCGCCATTCTGCAGGAGAGGAAGGAGAAGAAGGAGGCCAAAAAGCAGGCCTTGAAGGAGGACCAGGCGACCAAATTGAAGAAGATAGAAGAAGAGATGGTCAGAGAGAAGGAGAGGATACAGAAAGAAGAGGAAGAGAAGTTGAAAGAGGTGGAAGAGGAGGAAGAAGATGAAACGCCACAGCAGAGGAAGAAGGGGCATTACAGTGGCAGTAGGGATGAGGAGATGGAGAAGCGGATCTCAGAGTGGGTCGCCAACTTATCCCTGGGCGAAGAAGAAGAAGTGGTGATGTATATCTCTAAGGACGATCAGGAAGCCGTTATGCGAGCTTGGGAAGCAGAAAAAGATGTTGTGAAGCGGCAGGCAATGGAAGATGAGAAGAGAATGGAATGGAGGTTGG